TAGGTTGCCCTTTCTGTTAATCTGCGTGTGTTCTGTTGTGCATAGGGTTTTCAGAGGCCTGCTATTTCGGAAGTGGGTGGCCAATCCTTCTTCCTAGTCTGTCTTAATCTGAATGTTCAGATTTAGAGGAGTATCTCACAGACAGCAATTTGTGAAGCTGTCCTAGGCAAAGGCTAATAAGGGCTAGTCCTAGGCAAAGGAAATCATGCTTGAAAAAGTGGAAAGGTAGCAAAGGATAGGAAGAATGCAACCGTGGACGTAGGTATAGCTGGGCTAGGTTTGGTTTTGTTGAACGTATGGTTCAATGAGTCAGAGCCACCTTGACAGGACCCAGCAGCAATAACAACATTCTGACATTTGAGTGTTTCTTTGATTAGTGTTATAGGGAGTGCAACAGTTCTAGTGCATGCATCTTTTTTTCTTTTTCTACTGTGCAGCCGGCTTCAGTGCCTGCAGCCTATGAGCAAGGAGGCCAGGCAATGGTTCAGGGCTACAGTTTGCTCTGACATGGAACACTATGACAGACTCACGAGGATGGGCCTGCCATAAATTCAAACCCATGCACTGCATGCATCTTTAGTTACCTCCCTGAGTTTCCCCCTTCTCATCTTACGTTTCTATAATGGAAATTACTGTTCACAGACAATAGATTTTTACTCTCTGATCTTTCCTGGATTGCCTTGAGCATACTTTGACTTGACTTCTCTTAAGTCCCTACTGTATTTTCTTTGAGCTTCAAATACAGCACTCCTCGAAACACATTGCAATATGCCTCTCTCTTGATAGGAAAATACATTTCCTGAAGGCAAGGCCTATATGTCTTCTGACAACACAGTAATTGGACTTGGTTAAATGAATTACTTGTTTTAGCATTTCAGAAAATTCAGGAATGCTTGGAAATATAACCATGCATCTGCTTCCGTTTATATTCATGCATTTCTCTCTGACAGGAGGATATTACAAATGCAATCAATAAGTGTCAAAACACTGTTTTATCAGTTCCTAATCTTGTGCCTGATCCATATTTTGATGCTTTCACCAGCCCTTATATTAACAACAAACTTGAAGAAAAAACCTGTGGATCTGGGCCAAGTTTATCATCAGTTTTTGATGATGATAAGAACTTTCACACCATTATCCGTCAAATAAAGGTATGTTTGCTTGTTCTGAAACAACCCTATAGTAATCTCACATTTTTTAAAATCTGGTACAAGAATTTTATGCCATTAATAACCTACTTGAAAAAAAAATCTGTATGTTCCCAAGTCTCTATGTTTTCAGGGAAGCAATGTGGCTGTAGAGAATGCTGAGAGATGCAAGTAAAATCAACATGTTTTTGAAACATTGCATTGTTATTAAGTATTATTGTTATTACTATTTTGGTATGTGCTGTCAGTCCCCTGCAACTCATTGTTACCCTATGTACAACAGACCTAAACCCTGCTCTATCCTGTGCCAATCTTATTGTCTCTTATACACCTACCCCCATTACCCCAGTCATTGTGTCAATCCATCTCATTGAGGGTCTTCCTCTCCTGTGCTGTCCCTCCACCCTCCCAAGAATGATGTCTCCCTCCAAGGACTGATACCACCTTGTAACATGTCCAAAGTAAGTCAGACAAGAAAGAATTCTTTAAGAAAGAATCCTTGCCTTCAAGGAGAATCTTGGTTTCATCCTCTCTAAGATGAACTTGTTTGTTCTTCTAGTATTCCATGGTATATTTAATACTCTTCTCCAGCACCCAGCTCAAAGGCATTAACTCTCCTTCTAGCATCCCTGGTCATTGTCCACCTTTCTGATGCACGGTAAATAATTGCGAAGACCATGGCCTGTATCAGGCGCACCTTAAACTCCAGAATGACATCGTTGTTTTTCAATACTTTACTTTGGAGAGGTCTCTGACACCCAAAGTACTGAAGCATTATTTAAGTTTTACTAAAATATAGACTAGGAAGACTGAGGGATATTCCTCTAACCTTTAGGATCACAGAAAAGGAGAAAAGAAAACACATAGTGTCCCAGGAGTACACGGTTTGAGCAGCTGGTAGTAATAGGAAAATTATAGGATGCAAAGCCAGATACAAAGGGGAGTGGAACCCCCATGAAATCACTCCAGAAGATGGGGCACAGAACACAGAAAGAGAAGAAGACAAAAGAAAATCTATCAGTATTTCGATCCTGTGGACAAATCCCTAGGATCTCAGCTCCCCACTATTGGCAGATGTCCACCCCTGCAAACCTCCAAATAGTCTGGTAAGACAGAGAATTTTACAGAAGAATCTCCCTACAGTGGGCAGGCCAGATCCATCTTGACCCTAATGTGGAGAAACTCCCTTAGCTCAATACAGACATTTTGAAAAATTGCTCTGAAGATGGAGGTACCTGAGCAGAGGGTAGGATTTCACTTCTCCCTATTCACATATACTGTCTCAATTGACATAATCAAGCCACAACTGTCCTAGTGAGTTGGGTTTCTGTAAAGTAGAAAATGTAAAGGTATATTATCACAAGAATTTAGTGAAGGACACAGAGTCTAATTAGCACAAAGTCTCACATTATTCAGAGACACAAAGACTCAGAAAGTCAGATAAGTGGGGAGGTTTCGGCCACCCACCTGTGTCAAACAACTCAGCCCCTTGTCATTGGCCCAGTAGAGCTCTCTGAAGACACAGTAACACAGCAAATCACAGGATGGAAGAACTAAAATTCTCTGAGAGTGTCTGACCAATTAAGTTTCAGGAACATAGAAATTCACTGACCAAGAAAATTTGCTGAAATCACAGTCAAAGATGCAAAGACTCCTTCTGTCTAAGGACAGCAAAGAAAGATAGCAATACACCAGCTCCTTTAGTGGGTCTGTTCTTATACTACCTTCATTGCAGAACTCATGACACACCAAACTAGAGTATTTACATATTTCATGAAAGCAAAGTTCAATATATATCTCACCTCCCCAGGATTAAACACCAGCCATCACTAACCACTAGGACCCTCGACCAGCAATACTGCAGATTGTTGTGGTTATTGATTGCCTTCAAGTCACGCATGACTCATAGAGACCCTATGAACAAAAGGCCCGAAGCCTCTCTACAACTATTGACATTTATCAAAGTTCATAGAGTTTTCAGAGGCATGTTATTTAGGAAGTGGATGCTATTCCTGCTTCCAAACCTGTCATAGTATGTTATTGTTGTTATATGCCTTCTGGAAAACAGATTACAGACAGTTTCGTTTTTTTTACTAAGGAACTGGCTAGTACTGAGGATTTGTTTATGAGATTAAGGAAGTTATTTTGAGGAAGTGATAAACCCATTTATCCTTGCTTAGCAATACTTCTGATTTGATAATAGCACTTGCCGTTTAGAAAATACGCAGACATTGACTCTTTACTATGTCACTCTTTAATTAGTGACAGATAAGTTTACTGTGCAGTAGCAAAGTGTGAGTATTGTTTCTTCTAGTTATAAAGGACCATTTCTTTATAAATCATTTTAGACATTTTTCTTTCATGAGAGTTTTTTTAATTCATTAACTGCTTCTAATCAAGAAGGATGGTCTCTTTATTGACTTAAGTATCGTTGGATTTAAGGAAGCCACTCTGGTTTGTTGGTTTAATTATACTGATTGGTTGGATTCTGCTTATGACAAATACAATTTTTTTGGTTTTGGTTGGTTTTTTAAAATTTTATACTATTTTACTTACAAAGTTCATATACAGCTTTATTTGTCTATTCCTATCACATTTAGGAAACCATTCAGGCAGCATTTGAATCTGCCCGATTATACGCTGCCACCTTTGAAAAGTTCCAGATATTCTTCAGGGAAAATGAAAATCTTGACTTACAGGCTCTTAAGCTTCAAGAACCTGGTAAGTTTTCTATTTGTCCTTGCTATAGTGTTTTGATGGATTGCTGGTGGCTTCGTAGTAAGGAATTATGTCGCCAACCTTAAGGTCTGTGGTTTTAATCCACTAGCTGCTACTTGAGAGAAATATAGGCAGTCTCTTTTTGTGTGATTTACAGATACTGAAAAACCATGGGAGAGGCAGAATATGAGTTTATTCCAACTCTACAGGGCAAAACAACAATAGCAATGTTGTTTTGACAGGAATATCAAGGCATACAGTTTTCTGGATTTCTGTTTGGTTTGTGTGTTATGACAGAGAATACTAGTCTGCTTTGCTTGAGAGAAGGCAATATTTTATTAATTTCTATGTTATTTTTAATTACTGTTTTCTTCAGTTTTACTGCTTAGTCTTGTTTCAGAATATGGGAAGGAATTGGTTTATCTTTTCTCAGGAAGTTATAATGTTAAGACTTTAGATTGGAAGAAATGAAAAATAATGGATAACTTTACAAGTGCCATTAAATAGAACTTAGCTAAGTGCTTTTCCAACTAAGAAATTCAAGTTACTTTATTTCTGAGGCCAGATTGTGAATTGGTGGGTGAGCATCAACAACTCTTAGTCTTGAAATTAGACTCAGAGGGAAACGATGTTAATGCATTTATGATCTTCAACGCAAGCAACACTTTATGGTGCTCCCCTGTCACTGTCATTTCAAGCAACTCTTTATGGTGCTCCACTGTCATTTCAGACCAAAAATCAGGATGTATCATTTGTTATGACTATTTTAAAGTATGTGTGCACTATCAAATCTGATCTGACTGGTACAGGTGGAGATTGCCCCTCCTTCTCCAGCAGAGCATCTGGTGGATTCGGACCACATGCCTCTGAGATTGTAGTGTAGCTCCCTGCCACTAGCCACTAGAGCTTCCTGCCATTTATATTTTTTAAAATTCACTAACTGACCTTGTTATTTTATTTTCTTGTATACAGACGGTGGTTACTTTGGTGTGCTCTGCATTTGGTACTCTTCATTTTTCCTAAGATTTTCATGTTTTCCTTACAGCCTTTTCTTTTATTATGTTGAAGTATTCTAAAGTAAATTAAGCTTCCCATCCCTAATGTAAATATCTCAATGTATATCTCTAGGAAACACATTCTGACAGTCCCCAAATAATTTTACTAGACCTTAAAAAACAGCATTCCTCAGTGCCAATACTTCCTTTTTTAAGGTAAAAAGTAAAAAGATTTATTAGAAAATTATGTCCCATAGGATATGACAGCCCCACCCTCCTCAGAAAGAAATTATGGAGCAGGCTGATGTCAACACTTCTTAAATAAAAGCAGTTTATACCATGTTTGAACAGATATTGTATGTGTTAACTTCTTTTACTGTGCATAATGTTTTGGAAATTTATTCATGTTATGGTGTGTATTACGGTTTTGTGGCTGAATAATAATCTATAATGTGTGTGTATGCAATTTATCCTTTGATGGGTATTTGAGTTGTATTCACTTTTTGGCTATTATAAATATGATGATATCCAAGATCATAAGGTAATGCTCTGTTTAGAAACTGCCAAAAAATTAAGAAACTGCCAAACTTCCCAGATCATGTGTTACCCTTATTTTACCAGGTTTTGAGAACATATACTTCAAAATTTCAAAGTAGGTAGAGCAGGTATTTGTTTTGTGAGGACAATGGCCCTCAGAAAGACTGTATGAATCACCCAAGGCCATCCATGGTATAAAGAAAGACACGAGCCAGTGTCTTCTAACACCTTATCTGGTATACTCCTTGTATCAAAGAGAGTAGATAGCAACAATAAAGACAGGATCAGTACCCTTTGCTTTTTGTGAGTGGAAGGGGAGGAGAGAGAAAATTAGTGTTACTCAAGAAAGACAGAAGAAGTACAGTGAGAGGCATAGAAGGTACGGGATTTTGAAAGATAAACAGAGGGTTCTAGAATTAGATCTTTTTGAAAGAGTTCATTTTGACCAATAGAATGACAAAAGTCTGTTCAAAGATAATTATGTGCAGATGGACAATGTGGCACAGCCACAAGCAGAGGAAAGCCTTTCTCAGATTTCTGTGAAAGGGAGGGCTGACTCGAGACCCCCTGCTGTGTATATCCTGTCTAAGTTGGCAGTCCTGATCTAGCACCATTCCAGAGACAAAAGAAGACATTAAGCCATAGAAAAGAAAACAGGAGGTGAAGCACTGCCACCCTTTGGGATGTGTGTGGGGAGAGGAGCCTGACACTTCCCTGGGTTTAGGTCCTCCACTTGGGGATCCTTGCTTCCATGGCTGCAGGGCCATCCCAGCGGCCAAACTGGAGAAAAGAGTTTGTGACACAGCAGGGGAAAGATGTTTTCACCTTTCTCAACTGCCACGTTGTCCTGATAAAAAGAGAGCTGACTCGAAACAACTCTAGATAGAAACTGCTTAAGTGGAGAATCTGGCCTCATACCACTCTGTCACTTCATAAATGAAAGAGGACAACAGAGTTTAGTACAGACTACATCAGGACAAGATTCTTGGAGGGCTGCTGTGCAGAACAGAGAGAACATGAAGGACCTTAGGAAAGGCAAATTTCCAGGAAAGGACTTCCAGTATAGTGAGTGGCTCACCCTATAGATTGAACATTTTAATCTGGTACCTAGCCAATAATATCATGAAGATAAAGTCACTGTCAACTTAGGCAAACACAATAGAAATGGTTTAACATTTATTTAGAAAAGCTTCAGATAGTGTCAAGAAAGCAGCAGACAGCTTCAAACACTGTGAGAAAACAAATTAAGCAGACCCAATGAATATCCCAGAGCCAAGAAGGCAGATGACATATATTGATGTGGAGACATTCAAATAGTTACAAAAGAAAGTACAAATTATGGAAGAAACAATGGAAGGCACAAATAAAGGGAATACTTAAGAGGTAGAGAGAACCAGAAAAAAAATTGATGAGAAGTTATTTGAATAGCTAAATAAGGAAGTGTAGATGATGGAAGAAACAAAAGAAACCACCAAAAAAGCAAACCCTCCAAAGACATAGTTGTTGTTGTTGTTATGTGTCGTTGAGTCGTTTGCGACTCATAGCGACCCTATGTATAACAGCCTTAAACCCTGCTCTACCCTGTGCCAGTCACATTGCCTCTGACACATCCATCCCTATTACCCCAGTCACTGAATCAATCCACCTCATAGAGGGTCTTCCCCTCCTGCGCTGTCCCTCCACCCTACCAAGCATGATGTCCCTCTCCAAGGACCTGTCTCTCCTTACAACATGTCCAAAGTATGTCAGACGAAGCCCCAGAATCCTTGTCTCCAAGGAGTAGCCTGATTTAACCCTCTTCAGGATGAATCTGTTTGTTTTCTTGGCAGTCCATGGTACATTCAATACTCTTCTCCAGAACCACAGCTCAAAGGCATCAATTCTCCTTCTATTATCTTTGGTCATTGTCCAACTCTCTGATGCATAACAAGTGATTGCAAAGACCATGGCCTGTATCAGGCACACCTTAGTCTCCTGAGACACACCGTTGCTCTTGAGTACTTTAGACAGGTTCCTAACAGCAGACTTTCCCATCGCAATACGTCTTTTGATTTCCTGACTGCTGGTGCCAAGAGTGTTGACCGTGGAACCGAGCAAACTGAAGCTGTGAACAATCTCAGTCTCTTCGCCCTCCATCCTGATGCTACCATTTGGTCCAGTAGTGAGAATCTTTGTCTTCTTGACATTGAACCTCAGTCCATACTGAAGGCTGTAGTGCTTGATCCTCTGCAGCAGGTGCATGAGGTCCTCCTCAGTTTCAGCAAGCAGGGTTGTGTCATCTGCATAACGCAGATTGTTACTAGATCTTCCACCAATCCTGATGCCACACTTCTCCTCATAGAGCCCAGCTTCTCAGATAATGTGCTCTGCATACAGGTTGAAAAGGTATGGCTGTACAGCCTTCCCAATTTTGAACCATGCAGTGTTACCCTGCTCTGTTCTGATGACTGCCTCTTGGTCCAAGTATAGGTTTCACATCAGCACGATCAAATGACATAGAGCCAGAAGAAATATATTGAAGAGGAGGAATTTGCACAACTACAGAAAAAAATGCAAAAGATACAAGAAAGATTTGAAACTATAGATAGGTACAAGAACTTAAAAAGTCATCACAAAATGTTCATTAGAATAAAAAAGAAAAAAATTGTCACAAAGTTAAAAAACCATTACAAGAGAGAAGTACTCTTCTCAAGAGATGCACTTTATTACAAGATGAGTTTGTGTGGGACCTTACCATCACTCTGCTGCAAGATACCAAGGCCTTTGTGGCATGGTCAACCTGCGTGGCATGGCTGGCCCAGGACTGTCTTCCAGCCATCATTTCCCTAGCCTCTGTCAAAGGCCGGGGCCCAGCCCAGGCACACTCACACCAGTGACAGAACCACTGCCTGTCAGGTTGAAGGGCTTCGATTTCAGAGTGGCCCACATCACAGTTCCACGCAGAGCACTAGACCACTTCCTCTGCTGTCTGGATACCCTGCTGCCCTGCCACCTGGAGACCACCCAGCTACTTCCCCAACAGCACAGTGCCAGGAGCACCAGTATCACAGGTGCTTTGGATTCGGCATTACTGTCTAGCTACATCACACGGGATTCATTAGTTCAAGCAGAAGGGGCCAGACCAAGCCCTGGTTTCTGCAAAGGAACAGACTTCCTGTTATGCTACTTAGGATACTTTGGTTAAACACAGCTGTCAGGTCCTTGGCCCTATTGGCCTCTGGCCAAAGAGGAAGCACAAATATACAGGTCTTTCACAAAATGTTGCCATACTCTGGATCACTATATAGTTACAACAGCCTAACATCTACTAAGAAAAGACTCACATAATACTAAGAAAACAGCAGTCTATCTAAGTCACCACAAAAAAAAAATCCCCCCCAAAAATAAAACAAACAACAAAAAACCCAACACAAAATAATCCTTCTCCTAAAAAAGCAGACTCAATGAATACTCCACATAGAGAGAACCAGA